CCTTCTGTCTACCGCGAAAAGCCCTCCGCCAAACCGGCCACCGCGCCTCTTCCGCGCCACTGCTTCGTCAACTCCAGCCACCGCGCCACTGCTTCTCTTTCTCGTCTGCTCTCTCCGACACCGGTAATCCAGGGAGGGATCCGCCTCCGCCACTCTCTGCTGCCAGGGTCATCGCCGGTCGCGCAACCGCTCACTACGAGTCGTGGCTGAAACGTCGCAAGCACTCCCGCTCACCACCATCCGTCACCGGAGCCACCGTCAGCCACGGTGTCGGGTTCTCTCGTCTCCCTTTCCCTTTTCTCAACGCGTGAGAGAGAGAAACTCTTGTCCTCCGCGCCATTCCCATGCCGCCACCGACGAAGCCATGCCCACGCCGTCGACGAAGCCAAACGCCATTGGTGCATCCAACCGGAAAAAAAAACTATTGCTTGGGGTTCAAATTTTTGTTGGTGGCCCGAGATGAACAGAGGCAAGGAGACTTATTATCTGAGTTAATTTGTGGTTGCTGTAGTTGATTCGGGGTGGGTTAATCAGATAGGTTGTGTTACAGGCTAAGGATGACAAAATTTTTGGTGCTTGGTGTTGAAGTCAATGAACTTGAGGATGTTGAACTAAAGATGTAGTCCGAAATGTCAATTTATCACCCTTGTTTGAATGTGTTAGATATAGCAGAGGATAAAATGGCTTATTCCAAAGGACAAGCTTTGAGTGTATTGGCATGGGATCTGTGATTTGGTCTGTTCACTATGTTTACTACAGGTGAAAGATGATCTTGAGATGGAAGGCAGTTGTGTCAGACATGCGCATGGTTCACTGGAGAGAAAAAAAACTACTTCTCTTTTCTATTTTCTTATGACAGCTGATATGAAAACACCTCTGCTATTTCCGTTTGCTTTTTATTACATGTTTTCTGGGTGCTAAAGGATATGGAGTGTTGATGTTAGGGAAGTGTATGCCTATCTTCTATTGTTAGTTAAATAGATGAAATTTGCAGGCACTGAAACTGCATTTTGGGTGCAGTTTTGATTAACAGAGAAAGGCAAGCAAACGCAACCATATACATTGATCGAATATCAATTATTCATCTCTCAGCATGCATAAGGAAAGCATTTCTACGAGGAGCATGACCAAGGAGTTTAGGTAAACGAAGACTTACCTTCGCAGCTTCAAGATGCCTTTTCTTTTGGGCTTTAACTCCCTTTGCTCTCCTCGACTGAACTTCTCTTTTGGTTACCAAAGATGATCTTGCAGGCGCCGGAAAGTGAAGTCGACTGGGCAGCTAGATTCACACAACAGTTGTTTCTCCTCTTTTCTCTCTGGTCTCCGGTCTCTTGCTCTCTCGTGGTGAGTGTGGTCCGTCCCCAATGCTCTCTGAACCAATCCTTTTTATCACCAAAACGTGGTTCTCGGATGACCCAGAAGGTGTATCAAATGACAGAATATCCCCCTTTCTCTGGCCGTGAGGTCTCTCTTTTGAATGACCATTATTAAAACAATTTTGAAAACCAACAAGCTCTTTTTCTGCTGCACTACTTCTGAGAGCTCTGGCATATCCTCTGACCTCAGATCTTCCTTTGTCTTTTTTTCTTCTTTATGCTGGTTCGTAGGTAATTTTTATACTGGTTTGAATCAAAAAGACCCTTCAAAATAGAGATTAACCTTTCACTAAATAAGTAATAATTTACAATAGAGAAATAAAGATTGAGATTAGAAATCACCTCTCTTAACAAATAACATATGAAAGACACCTATTTTTTATGCACAAAAAGATGGACAACTTCACCCTACTTTATAGGTATACTTCACCCCTTAGACACACTAAGAAAAGGTACTTTTTCTACAAGCATCAAGTAACATAAACTCCCTTTTCACAAATACAGAGAGTTTTCCTTAAGCACACAACTCTAATACTGATGAAAAGTTTTTTTAAGTTAGGTTTAAGTTAAGTATTTATAGATTCTTACATTTGAAAACTATGTCACAAAGAGTCAGGTTCACAACTATCATTGATAATCGATTATCATAACTAATAAATGATTATTCCATAAACGTTTTTTTATAATATTGTCGTTGATGTGATCAAATTAATACTAATAAACTATAACAACTTAAGTATTGCTAAGATAGTAGCCTAAAAAATAGAAAGGATAAATTCAACTTTAAGTCGTTACCCAACGAAGATTCTTAACAAATTAGTTCTTATAAAAATTATACAAAGTGGTTCGTAAAATAACAAAGAAGATAAAGATAAAGAAAAGGTTAAAGAACGAATTAGCCAAAGATAGAAAGAAAGAAATTTATAAAGAGATTTAAAAAGATATAAAACGATGATAAAGAAAATAAGTTCATTTCACTATTTTTCCAAAATAGGATTTGGGTTATTCAAAGACTATTGTTTAATTAATTATTTCAAATTAATCAATGTAAATTCTCAATTAATTAATTTGTCGGTGTTCTCATTTTTAACCAAAGTACATTCTGAATTTAAAATAAGAACTTTGTAATTAATCATAGTAAGTTTAATTAAAAGTAAATTCTCAACTAAACATTCTTAATTAATTTTGATTTAAGTTTTTACTACTAATCAAAACACATTTTTTTTAGTTATTAGGTAAAAATTCAATGAATCAATAAAAAGTTTTAACTTTAATCAAAATAAATTTTCAAGTAAAATTAGAAACCCTTGAACTTATATAAATAATTGATATGTTATATAGATTTGACCCACTATTAAATTATTATAATATTAAAATAATTACTTTTCCTTAACTAAAAACCAAAAGACCAAGAGATAAAAAAATTAAATCAATTTATCTCAATAAAAATAAAAACAAATCAGTTCCTCGTACCTGATTCCAGCTCTTCTCGCGGTGAAAACCCTAACACCAAAAACCTTCCCGCCTATTGACCTTTACTCACCTTCGCATTCTCTGGTTCTCGCAATTCCGCCTCGCTTCCCTTTTTCACTCTCAAGTTTGATCACTCCCTCCCATTTCCAGCTCTCTCAGAGTTGTTTCCCCCACTCATTACGCACATCAAGTATTAGGTATTAAAGGCTCTCTCCGAACCCTAAACTTCACATCAATTTATCCATGCTGCGAAGCTATCTCATTCTCCCCACAGGGTTCGCGAAAATAAAATAAAAAGAAAAAAGGTAAAACTTAGGATTCTTCTTCTTGTGTCTTCTGACCAAAAGAAAGAACAGCCAATAAATTATTTTCCGAGTCTTACAATCATTATTTAAATCAATAAATATATTTTATTTTAAATTATTCGTTTAATTATTAGGAATGGGTATTTATTGGAGATTGAAAACATTTATTACACTTTATTACTTTCATTTACGGTCACTTTCAATATTAATATAACTTGTTAATTACCGTTAAATTGTTTTAATCACAGTAATTATATTTGATTTTGGAAAGCAAAATCAAAATTGGATTCACATTCTCTTTTCCTTAATTATTAATATAACTCGTATTATTATTATTATTAGAATTTTATTAAATAATCAAATTTTATTTTAACATTTTTCTTCAATTATTAATGTCATTATTACTATTGATATTGTTATTATAATTATAATCAATTGTTATATTATATTTTAATTAATTTATTTAATTATTACTTTAATTTTTAATATTAATTTTTTATTATTATTATTATTAATTTAATCAATAATTATATTGTATCAAAAAAAATTCTTTAATTAATATTACTATTTTTATTATTATTATTATTTAATCAATGATTATATATATTTCTAATGTTATTCTTATTCAATCATTATATATTTTAATTAATTTTTTCTTGAATTATTAATATTAATAATATTTAATATTATTATTATTTGAATGAGTAATTATATTAAATTTTAGTTTTACTTTTATGAACCTAAATTTATTTTGCTTTCATTGTTTTAAAATTCCGTGCATGGCCATGTGAACATTAGGTGTGGACATGTTCAGGATCCCCTCTATAATTGAGCAGTTTTTTTTATAATTAAATTCCTTCTGTATAATTTTCTTTATCATCCACTTCCTCTGAAAATGTCAACGTAGACAAAGTCCAACTATGCAAATCAAGAAACGTATTTCAAACTTAGATGCCATAAATCAATCCAGTTCATAGTTGTAGCACAATATAATACACAACTCGACAAAATCATACCCAACTGTTTGACTATTTGAAACGAACCGATTACTACGTTGGCCTATTATAAGAAGAATTACACTGATGCACTGACTTTTCAAGGTACAAGTAAAAGCAACACAAATACTAGCAACTGTTAATCGTTTTTCTCTTTCATAGGATAAGAGAAAACAACCACGCTTCAGTGGAAAAGGCAGCAGTACGATGCATATCGGTAGTAGTTGTCACTTGCCCCAATAGACCATCCAAATTTTGCAACTTCAAAGTTTGAATCTTTCAACTGAAACATTGGTCAAATATCGTTATTTATCCGAACTCTGTTGTTAGGTTTTTTTCTTTTTCTTTTTCATATTACTTATTTTTGAACTCCTCAATAGAAGTCTGTAGTGAAAGAAATTTTGCCCAAGTTCCAGGAGACAGAACTATGGATTCAGCAGAGAAAAGGCTCAATGAGCTTGGCTACAAGCAAGAACTGAGAAGAGAAATGGTGTGTGTATTCTGTTCTATTTAAGTTTTTTTTTTTTTTTGCCATCTTGTGTTTGATGGAGTTCATCATGATCCCAGCTTTAAGAAAATGAAATAGCTTAACTTTTGATTAAATCTGTTTAGCTTTTCCTTTTATGGTGCAGACTATGTTCAAAACGCTGGCCATATCATTTTCCACAATGACCCTTTTCACTGGAATTACACCTCTCTATGGTTCTAGTCTTCAATATGCTGGCCCTGCAACTCTTGTATGGGGATGGATAGTGGTTTCTTTCTTCACTTGGTTCGTTGGGATTGCAATGGCTGAGATATGCTCATCGTTCCCGGTTTGTTTCTTCTCAAAAAGTTTATTTCTTTGTAGTGGCAGTTCTTCAAGGCTTAGAATTTTAAAATACCCAATATTTAGTATTCGACAATGTTTCAAATAGGATTAGCTATGGAAGAAGAAAAAAGTACTCGTTGATTCCTTCTGCACACAAAGATGAGCATGTGAATGAATTTAGAAAACTAACTCACTTCTTATTGAATCTAACAGACAACTGGTTCTCTGTACTTTTGGGCTGCTCATTTAGCTGGTCCAAAATGGGGACCATTTTCTTCATGGTGCTGTGCTTGGCTTGAGACCATAGGCCTTATAGCTGGGATAGGGACTCAGGTAATTTGGTGAAATTTCTGGTCAATATTTTCAGATAATGTTATATTGTAACTCATAATGGTTGGAAAAGGCATATGCAGGATCACAAACTTTGCAGAGCATAATCCTACTCTCAACAGGCACAAACAAAGGTGGAGGGTACTTTGCCCCAAAATGGCTCTTCTTATGTATGTACATTGGCCTTACTGTTATATGGGCAGTTCTAAACACTTTTGCTTTGGAAGTGATTGCCTTGATTGATATAGTTTCAATATGGTGGCAGGTACTATTATTATGTCCTTGTATACACTTTAAATCTTGCATAAGATGGCCTAAGCTTGCTTATTCTGTTATTAAAATAACAGCAGCAGAGAATAGGGGTGTTAAATTGGTGAAAATACCACAACAAGCCGAATCAATTAAGTTGGTTTTCTTTAGTTTATATGTTCAAGTAAAAAACTTAATGTAATCAATGTTACTTGATTATCTATAGTTTAATCATTTGATTTTAAATGTTTTAAGAAATCAAACCCATGAATCGAACCAAACCAGTATGATCTTGTGAAAGAAAAAAAGAATTTGCAAAACTAAAACAAGCCAATACAGTTGGTTTTCATTAGTTCAATCTTTTTATTCTCGCAAATTGAACGAAATCAAACCGGTGGAAGCCCTAAGAAGTGAGAGAGAAAGTTGTATTTTAAGTTGATGTTTTGATTAAACACAAATACCCTTGTGAGTTTGCGTATGTTTTTGATTAAACACAAATTTCTTTATAATATATTCTGAAACAAAGTTCATAATATGGTCTACAATTTAAAGGGTTTTGGGCGTATTAGGAAGTAACACACTCATTTATTCTGTGTCAGGTTATTGGTGGATTGGT